CAATATAACTCATTTATTTCACCATGCTAGAAACGTGTTGGTCTACGATTTTGGTGGCGGCACATTTGACGTGTCGGTGCTCAAGCTAATTATGGGTCGGGTAGAGGTGTTGGCGGTGGGCGGAGACAATCACTTGGGCGGCGACGATATCGACCAGAATATCATTGACTACTGTTTGGACGACTTTCGCAAACAAACCGGCGTTCGTGTGGACCGCGAGTCGGCTGAGGGCGAGCGGGCCTTACGCGCGCTGAAAGACCGGTGCGAACGGGAGAAGTGGCGTCTGTCCGAAGCCACGGCCGTCACCATCGCTGTGGACAACATCGCCGGTGGGCGCGATCTGGCCGTCGAGTTGACTCGAGCCGACTTTGAACGGCTCAACAAACAACTGTTTGACCGTACGATGGATTGCGTGACCCGCACTCTGGCCAGTGTTAACGAGGGCGCAGGTATGCAACCGCACGACATCGACGATATACTACTGGTCGGCGGCTCGACGTATATTCCGTGCGTTAAGGATATGATTAGGAGGTATTTCAATGGACGCCAGCCCTCCCAGACGGTGAACCCGATGCTTGTTGTGGCAGAGGGGGCGGCCATTCAGGTAAAACATTTTGTTATTAAATGATTTTTTAAATATATGGAACCATTAATAATTAATAGGGTAATAATAGTTCATTGTATTCAATAATTATATAAATTCACCTTGACCCATCCACTGAACATAGGCTGCGATTGTAAACGGCAATCAGGCGCATAGATATAGACACTTACGCGTGCTGGACGTTACGCCACACTCGCTCGGCATAGCAACCTGTCCATTGGTGGACAAGGTTAGAATGTATGACGTAATGAGCGTTATCATACCGGCCCAGTCGCGGGTGGACGGTGTGGACCGAATCAAAACATACTGTACTTTAAATGACAACCAAACAGATATGAGTATTGAGGTGTACGAGGGCGAGGACCCGGTGGTCACCCGTAACGCACTGTTAGGCAAGTTTGTGGTGACAGGTATACCGCCGGACGGGGCCGGCAAACAGAGTGTGGATGTGTTGTTTTGCGTGAACGATGACGGGGTGTTGAAAGTTAGGGCTACGGTGCTATCGCACGGCGCTGTACACGAGTATGAAGTGGCCGAACATAAGGGCCGGCTATCCATGGATGAGCTGCTCAGCCGTCGTCGTAGTCGCCGGTGATTTGTGTTTATATTTTTTGACCATAATTTCTAATGAAAAATGCAGTTTATGGGTTGTCATAATATGACTAAAAACTAAACTATGTACTAATTAAATATGTATATAACATGTTCTGTATTACATTGTCTGAAAGAAGACTAAATAAACATTAATATTATTATTATAATACTTGAAAATTACAGTATGAGCTAGTACATATAGTAATATGTAGTTATAAACTGCATATTAAAGCACCGATTATTAAAACACCAATTAGTAGTATCTAACAAAAATAATTTTATTTTTCTAACATAACATATAATGGCATTAAATTACATGACAATACTTATTAAACATATTTTAATGATTACATAATTAACATGACTACATTTTATAAAAATGTAAAAATTATTCATATTATTCATATTATTTATTACAAAATGGTTATAAAACATATTTACATTACTATTTTATTAATTACATTAATTGTGGTAAACATGGATCAAAAACGCCGCGTACATTGTTTACAATGGCCGGCAACGTCTGGACACCGATCCGGTGGCTGTCCATAGCAGCTGCCGTTCTAATCGCCGTCGATATTGCGCTGACAATGATTTACCGACAACTATACAAACATAACGATAGGGTGACCAGTGGTCCCACACGTATTGGACAGTCAATAGAGTTACGTGTTATGTCTCAATCGCTGGCATGTGTTGTCTCAGAAGTAGTGACGGATCCGTTAATAACCAGTTCACCGTTGATGTCGGCCCAACCGATGACTATAACCAGAAAATCTTTCGCCGATATCACTGATGGATCCGATGGGAAACAGCCGGTGTTCAAGCGGGTGGGCTCGGTATTAACCAGCGATCAGTCACTGCTCAATCCATATTCACATCTCATGTTTAATGCCATACCTAATAAATATTTGTAATAAATTATAATAATAATAATTTAATAGAGAGAGAGAGAGAGAGAGAGAGAGAGAGAGAGAGAG